CTATTAGTGTCACCTGTGTCTCGTCCCAGCTGTTTGTTATCACGTCTCGTCTTGTCCCTGTATTTAAGCTGTCCGTTCTGTCTTGTTCTTCGTCGGGTCGTCTTCGTTGGGTCTCTGAGTCTTTCCCTGAGTCTTCCTGGTTCCTCGAGTTCCCCGTGTCTCTTGTGTCTCCTGAGTTTCCCGTGCCTCCTTCCTATGTTCATGTAAGTTTTGTTGCCCCGTCAGCTTGTTATTTTGTACTTTCATTTATCATTAAATTCCTATTTTTTGTAACTCTGCCGAGTTGAGTCCCTGTTCTGCACTCTGGGTTCGCTCCTGACACAAATCCTGACAGTACGACCCAACCAGAACAGAACCCAGCGGGCAGGGTTCTCTCTCGGTAAAACTCACCTTTTTTCTTTTTTTCTCCTCGTGCCATGATGGACGAGCTCCACTCCGTCCCTGTCCTTCCACCGTCCCACCGCCTCCGTAGTGGCAGAAGACGGTTCCAGAGGCAGTCTGCGGCGACCGGCCCGGTCTCGTCGGCCGAGCAGAACTTTAGAGCTGGTTCCGGTGTTTTCGTGGGAGCGGGGTCCGCCGCCTCACCTCCCAGGTTTCTGGTGGGGGCGAGATCCAGCGTCCCGCGGGAGCTCCAGTCCACTCCTGTTCGGTTCGGTGAGTCCGGTCCGGTTGACGTTACAGGGGCGGGTTCCGTCACCTCACCTTCCAAGTTCCTGGTGGGGGCGGAATCCGGCCTCTCACCGCCACTCCGCACCGCGGCTGTTCGACCCAGCCTGGCCGTACCTCCGGAGAGTATTCCTTGTGACTCTGTGTGGGTGTGTCCCGCCGCCTCACCTTCCAGGTTTCCGGTGGTGGCGGCACCCGTCACCACACCCACTCATACAGACATTCCCTTTTTTCATTCATTTTCCCCTGAACATATTTTTCATGTTAATCAGACCATTCTTGAACTATTTATTTCCGCTAAAAGAAACCCGTCCTCCTTTGATTTCGTTTTGTCCCAGATGGAGGATTTTTTACTTTCTATCCCTGGTCTTTCTTTGCTCCCCGAATATGATTTTTTATTAACTGAGTTAGAGACTCTAAAGACTCCTGTTTCAGCCATCCCTGAGGTGGACTCCACGCTGCACACAGCTATCCCTGAGGTGGACTCCACGCTGCACGCAGCCCCTGAGAAGGGTCCTCATCTCTCCTATTCCGAGGGGGTCCCGGCAGACGCTCCTCATCTCTCCTATTCCGAGGGGGTCCCGGCAGACGCTCCTCATCTCTCCTATTCCGAGGGGGTCCCGGCAGACGCTCCTCATCTCTCTAAGTCTCCAGAGGGGTCGGCGCTCTCCAAGTCTCCAGGGGGGTCAACGCTCTCCAAGTCTCCAGAGGGG